AACATGAAAAGAAGAAAATAATTTAAATAGTATTCATTGTAGCAACCGCATCTCTGTGCCTACATTTTAAAGATTACACCTGACTGAGAAAAATTGAATCCTTAAAGAACTTCCACAGACTGCCACCACCACCTCTACCCACCTAAATTAGTTTGCTGGGAATGCCATGACTAAGCAGTTTAAACAACAGAAATGTATTGTCTTGCATTTCTTCAAGTGAGAGGTTCACAATCAGGTGTATGCAGTTTTGGTTTCTTCCAAGACCTTTCTCCTTGGCTTGCAGATGGGTGCCTTCTCCCTGTGTCTTCACATGTTCTTTTCATTTTTTGCCTACACATCCCTGATGTCTCTTTTTTCTCCTCTTCTTATAAGGACACCAATCATATTGGATTAATCCCTCACCTACGTGACCTCATTTTACCTTACTTACCTCTTTACAGACCCTATCTCCAAGTACACTCTCATTCTGAGGAACTGGGGAGTAGGCCTTCAACATATGAATTTGGGGTCACACGGGGACACATGATTCAGCTTATAACACCATCTGTGAGTATATGTATCACAAATGATATTTTATTTTCCTTCTGCTGAGTAGATTTGGTCCCACATCAAGGCACACAGTGTGGCTGCATTTCAGTTCCCCCAGTCTCTTCAGGCAGACATCCTTGAGCAGAGCACAACATACACATCTATAGATTATGGCCCAGTGGGTAACCAGATATTCTGCTTCCCACCAGTTACTGTAGAAGGATACCCAATGATCCTATCTAAAACCGACTCATCCACTTGTTGATTTGATCTTCAGTTTTTGCCTCTTCAAGGCCACACCAGCAATTCTCATTTCTCTATGCTACATGATAATTTCTTTTTCTCTCAAACTGATTATATCCTTAAACATAAAAACTTGTTGCTATTTATCCCATCTTTAACCACACTTTTATTCCCATTTTTGGCTCCACTTTGCCTTGTACCAGCCACCATCATTTCTCAGCTCCCTTTATGGCAAATCTTCTCAAAGAAGAATTGAGAGAGACCATTTCAAATTTGTCTTCTTGCATTTTTTCTTATTCCACTTTTGACAGATTTCCTTTCCCTCCTCTCTATTAAAAAAAACATTCTCATCAAAGTCACTGAAGACCCCCATTTTGCTAAATCTGAAGATCAATTCTTTTTGTTCATGTTACTTAATCTAGCAGCAACACCTGACACAATTTATTAACTTGATATTGATATTTGATAATCTTTCTTAAAATTCAGATTCTAGAATACCACATTCTTTGATTTCTTTCCACCTTACTAGTCACCCCTTCTCAGTTTCCTTTTCTGGTTCCTTCTCCTCTCCCAGATCTCTTAAGATTGACATTCCCCAGAGCCCAGTCTTTGAGCCTCTTCTCTTTAATATCTAGATTCACTCAGAGTGAGCTCAGTCTCACAACTTTAAGTGTTATCTGTATCACAATGACTCCCAAATTTTCTCTCCTAAATGGAATATCCAAACCTCTATTCCACATTTCTCTTGGATATTGAGGTAAGCAGAATTCTAAGGTGGTCCCCCAACATTCTTGGCCCTCGGTATATATGCACTGCAAAATCCCTGGGACTATAAATATGATGGCTCTTCCTCCTATACTGATGTTATGGTAGATGACACAGTTAAATATTAAAAGGGGGGGGCAAAGTGGTGAGGAGAAGAGATGGGGATAGATGATAAAATTAAAAGAAAGTTAGAAACAATCCCTTTTATAATTACATCAAGCAAATAAAATACCTAAGAATAAATTGAACCAAGGAAGTGAAAGATCTATACACTGAAAACAATAAGACACTGATGAAACAGGTTGGATGACATAAATAAACGGTAAGATATCCTGTGCTCACAGATTAGAAGAATTAATATTGTTAAAATGTACCTACTGCTTAGAGCAATCTACCAATTCAGTGAAATCCCTATCAAAATTCCAAAGGCATTTTTCACAGAAATAGAACAAGTAATCCTAAAATTTATTTGGAACCACAAAAGATCCCATATAGCCAAAGATATTTTGAGAAAGAAGCACAAAGCTAGATCACCCTCACTGATTTCAAACTTATTACAAACATGTGGGAATTAAAACAGTATGGTATTGTGATAAAAACAGACACATGGATCAATGGAACAAAGTAGAAAGCCCAGACATAAACCCACACATACATGGCCAATTAATTTACAACAAAGGAAGCAAGAATATACAGTGGGGAAAGACAGTCTCTTCAATAAGTGATGGGAAAACTGGTCAGCTACATGTAAAATAATGAAACCGGACCACCATCTCACACCACACATAAATATTAACTCAAAATGGATTAAAGATTTGAATGTGACACCTGAAACCATAGAACTCCTAGAGAAAAACGTTGGCAACAAAGTCCTTGACATTGTTCTTGGAGATGATTTTTTGGACCTGACTCCAAAAGCAAGGACAACAAAAGCAAAAATAAATAAATGGGACTATAACTAACTAAAAAGTCCCTGCACAGCAAAGGAAACCATCAAGAAAGTGAAAAGGCAACCTACTGAATGGAAAAAGATATTTGAAAATCATATAGCTGATAAGAGGTTAATATCCAAAATATATAAAAAACTCCTGCAACTAAATAACAAAATAAAATAATAATTCAATTAAAATATGGGACGAGGACTTGAATAGACATTTTTTCAAAGAAGACATACGGATGAGCAACAGGCACATGAAAAGATGGTCAACATCACTAACATCCTCAGGGGAATGCAAATCAAAACCACAATGAGATATCACCTCACACCTGTTAGAACAACTGTTATCAAAAAAGCCCAAAAAACCTGAAATAAGTGTTGGCAAAAATTCAAAGAAAAGAGAACCCTCATTTACTATTGGTGGGAATATAAATTGGTGTAACCACTATGGAAAACAGTGTGGAGTTTCCTCAAAAAATTAAAAATGGAACTACCAGGGCGCCTGGGTAGTACAATTGGTTGAGTGTCCTATTTTTGGTTTTAGCTCAGGTCATGAGCTCAAGCCCTGTGTCGGGCTCCACACTCAGCCCAGAGTGCTTGAGATTCTCTCTCTCTCTCCCTCTGCTTGTCCCACTCATGCTTTCTCTCTTTCTCTCTCTTTCTAGAATAAATAAATAAATCTTAAAAAAAAAAATTTGAACTACCATATAATCCAGCAATTCCACTTCTGAGTATTTCTCAGAAAGAAAACAAAACCATTAAGTTGAAAAGATAGATGCACCACTATGCATAGTGCATCATTATTTACAATAACCAAGATATAGAAACAACTTAAGTGTTCACTGATAGGTGAATGGATAAAGAGGATGTGGTGAATATGTGCCATGGAATACTACTCAGCCATCAAAAAGAATGAAATCTTGTCATTTGCAACAACACGGATGGACCTAGAGTGTGTTATGCTAAGTGAAGTTAAGTAAGACAGGCAAAGACAAATAACATATGATTTCACTTATATGGGGAATCTAATAAAAAAAAAAAAAAAACAAGAACTCATAGACAACAGAGAACAGACTGGTGGTGACCAAAGGGGAGGAAAGTAAGGAGGTGAGTGAAATGGGTGAAGGGAATCAAAAGCTACAAACTCACAGGTGTAAAATGCATAAGACATGGAGATATATATATATATATAGAGAGAGAGAGAGAATGGTAACTAACCAATAATATTGTATTACATATTTGAAAGTTGCTAAGAGAGTAGATCTTGAAAATTCTCATCCTAAGGTTAAAAAAAGAAAAGATTTTATGGTGATGTCATAACCAGTCTTATTGTCTTAATCATTTCTCAGTGTACATCAATATCAAATGACTATGCTATATATCTTAAACTAATATGATGTTATATGTCAGTTATAGTTTAATAAAATAATATTTCCAGAAAAGGGCCAAAATAATATAGGATGGTTAAGCTTTTGCTATTACCTATACTTGAATCGAATTATCTGTTCTTTTAACAGTTACTTATGTTTTTTGTAATAATTTGTTATACATAGCTCCTTTACAGGTTTCTTGATACTTAGAATAAAATTCAGGCAAATTGTGAATAGTTTTTTTTTAAGATTTTATTTATTTATTTGAGAGAAAGAGAGAATGAGAGAGAAACAGAGAGCATGAGAAGCGGGGGCTGGTCAGAGGGAGAAGCAGACTCCCTGCCAAGCAGGGAGCCTGATGTAGGACTCGATCCCAGGACTCCAGGATCATGACCTGAGCTCTCCTGCTTAAGCTTAAGCTCAGGCTTAACCAACTTAACCAACTTAACCAACATATTTATTTATGAAAGAATGAATAAATAATTAAATAAATATGAACAAATTTATTTATTTAATGAATAAATAAATAAAGATGGGAGGGTGGGAGATATCCAGGTGGGCCTGACCTAATCACATGAGCCTTTTAAAAGCAGAGAGCTTTCTCCAGCTGGTCTCAGAAAAAGGAGGCAGAAAGTTGAAGCATGAGAAGAATTCAACAGGAGGGAAATTTTCCATTGCTGAAGGATGAGAAGGCTGTGGAGCAAAGACTTCAGAGAGGCTTTTAGTTGCTGAGAGTGGCTCACACCTGACAGCGAGCGAGGGAACAGGGATCTCAGTGCTACCACCACAAGAAACTGAATTCTGCCAAGAACTTAAATGAACCTAGAAGTGGATTGCTTGCCAGGGCTTTCAGACAAGAACTCAGCCTTACCAACCCCTTGATTGCAGCCTTGTGAAACCCTGAACCGAGAATCCAGCCGTGCACTACCTGACTTCTGCCTCACAAGAATATAAGTGGCTGTTATTTGAATCCACTCCACCTCTGGTAATTTGTTACACAGGAAAAGGGCAGGGCGAAATAAAGAAAGAGAGAGTGAGACAGAAAGAAAGGAAGGAAGGAGGGAAGGAAGGGAGGGAGGGAAGGAGGGAGGAAGGAAGGAAGGAAGGAAATACAAATGTGTAACAGACACTCCAAGCTCAACATTTCCAAAACCGACCTCTTGATCTTTCTCCAAATTGGCTTCACATCATTCTTCCCCATCTTCATGGATGGTACCACCTTCCTTCCAGTTGCTCAGGCCAAACAGCTTTATTATAAATCTTTGACTCCTCTCTTTCTTTCACAAACCACATCTGAATTGTCACAAGTCCTGCTGGCTCTGCTTTCAAAATAGATCCAGGTCACAATACCTGTTACCACCTCTTCTGCTACTTCTGTCCAAAACCCCGTCGTCACTGCTTGCATATCAGATGGCTACGGCCTTTAAGTTGGACCCTCCTGCTTCCCCCTTACCCGATGTCTGCTCTTGGCACAGTGGCCAGAGGACCTTTGTAAAACCGGAAGTCAGACTGTGTAACTCCACTATTCACAAAGCTGCAAGGAGTCCTTGTTTTACTAAGAGTAAGCACTTCTGACAACGAAGAGAGAAGCAGACTTCCCATCCCGCTACTGGTATTCTGCTACTAGTATTTTGCTACTAGTATTCTGAAGAGCAAAAAAAAAACAAGGAAAGAGTATTTGAACAGCAATTCTGACAGAGTATAAGTTTACCTCCAACCACAATTCTCTTCTCATTGGACAAAAATAAACAAACTCAGTACAAGTTCCTGATTCTTGCAACACTCTCGAGTTTTCTGAGAACAGAAAAAGGCCTAGACATTTCTTGCTATTGGAAACTATTGTGACTTTTATTTTTAAGTTCCAGCACCTCTGCCATGTCCCAGCCGCAGGAGGCTGGCAGGTCGTGCTGGCCTCTCTGAGGCTCAATGTCTCATCCAAAAGGGAAGTTTGCGAGGCCTGCCCCTGCAAAAATTAACAGAGATTCTCACATTTGGAGGTGCCTAGGTGGCTCAGTGGATTAAGTCTCTGCCTTAGGCTCAGCTTGTGATCTCAGGGTTCTGGGATCAAGCTGTGCCTTGTGGTGGGCTCTGCTCAGCAGGGAACCTGCTTTCCCCTCTCTCTCTGCCTGCCTCTCTGCCTACCTGTGATCGCTCTCTGTCAAATAAATAAATACAATCTTTTAAAAAGAGAGAGAGAGAGGGATTCTCACATTTGGGGAAAACATTCTAATGAACGAGCTCTGTGCATATGTATATCCTTATTTATAACAAAGCTACTTAGTGGTTCCCTGGTGCACGAGGGGCTTCTCAGCACTTCATCACTCCTCCCACAGCCAGTGAACTTCCCTATAAAATTATAAAGATTTCCAGACCCGCAGGTGACCCTTAGGCTTGGGTGCTCTTTGCCTACCCTGGGACCAAGTAATGAAGAGCAAGTTATGGCTCGTAAATTTTCAGAGCTGTCTCTTTCCTGCAGAATTTGAAACTGAGGCGGAAAGGGGGATTGGCGCTGGTTGGTAAATACAGCCATTCCTTCCCCTTACACACGAATCTCAGCGTTCACATGTCAGCTAGTATTACAGCACGTTTCAACTTCTGCCTTTCTTCATTTCCACAGCCCCAGCCTTGCTGAGGAAAAAAGAAAAAAAAATCTAAAAAGGCAAAACCCTAGGAAAGAGCAGAGCACTGGTCCCACAGAGAAGTGGCATGATAGGAATGTGCAGGAATGTGCTGAATGAAAGTGCCTGGGAGCACTCTGGGAGCACAGTGCTCAGCGGTGAGCTGTTCCCGGCCAGTCCCACTTCCTGTGGCACCACCATCATAGGCGCTCTACTTCCCAGAGTGATTCAGGTGTTACGACAGACATTACAGAGAAAACACAGCCCCTGAAAAAGAAGTCTGAATAGCCAATAGGAGAAATTCTTAGAAGAAAGAGCTATTATTATAGTCGCAAGAAGCCATATTTTTTATTCTGACAGACCAAACCATGCCCACCACAAATGAATTCAAAGCAGAGCGAATCTTCACAAATCTTTTCACAAGGTTTATTGTTCTTTTGCACAAACAGACACACCCCACCTCTGAGCTTTGTCTACAGTGAGAGCTTCGTGTAGACTTGCTATCTGAGGTATCTTCTGTTTCTCTCCAAAGTTCATATTCTACCTTCTGGACCATGATCTCTAACTGGGAGGCCAGCCCATGTGAAACTCATCATCTTTTGACTTCTAGTTGGGTTCAGCCAGAGGGGCTCATTACCAGGAGGGCACAAGGAAAAGGAGAGGGAGATCTCAGGTTGTATTCACCCCCACAGCCCACACACACGCTGCAGTCTCACACTGAGGGCACTCAGGCTGCTGTGTCTCTCAACCAAGGCCACTATTCATCTCAAGGCATTATGTCTTCCTAGTATTCAGGTCTCCATGCCCCTCATCCTGTCCATTTGGGTCTAGGGAATGTGACAGTTTTGCTATTAATGGCCCTGAAAATACTGCTCTATCCCTTGTCACTTCCCTACACCTTTGTAAAATTTATTCAACCCTCCTCAAGTTCTACATTTGCAGGTGGCATCTGTTTCTTGGTGAGGCTCTGACTGATAGACTTGCAAATTCGATGAGCATGCCCTAAATGTTTCTTTACTTCATTGGTCAGACACATGACTATAAAAGAGCAACTCGGTAGAAATTCTAATTTTAGAGCTCCTGAGTGGCTCAGTTAGGTGACTGCTTTCAGCTCAGGTCACAGTCCTAGGGTCCTGGGATCGAACCCCACATCAGACTCCCTGCCCAGCAAGGGAGTCTGCTTCTCCCCTCCCCTCTGCTCATGTTCTCTCACTTACTCTCTTTTTCAAATAAATAAATAAAATCTTTAAACAAAATAAATTCTAATTTTAGCAAATCCTATGTAAGAAGTGTGTCTTTATATTTTAATAGGCATATCCTTTGAATCTCAGCTGAAATATCTCTTCTTCAGACCTGCATATCCCAGTCCACGATCTCTTTCATAGCATCGTGCTTTCCTTTACTATTGCCTAGCACAGTTTGTTTTTGTATACATTTGTTTGTTTTCATGTCTCATGTCTACTGCCCACCAGATCTTAGAAGTCATGAAGGCATCAACTATGTTCATTGTCTATGTTCCATACCAAGGTACCTGAACCATGGCAGAAGGCACAATAAACATGTGTTGAGAAAGTGACTGAGTTAAAATAGGTAGGAGGGAGAAGAGCCATGTAATTCCTCATGCTAGACACATTTCAACCTCAACACCCATTCACCTTGCCCCACCCCCAATAAAGGTCGAGATTTATCCTTCCGGTTCATTGCCTGCCCAAACGCAAGCCTTCTACAGCAGCTAGGTCCTCATTGGTCTTCTTCCTCCTATGAGTGAGTGCTGCTTTCCCAAAATATTCTAGGAAGCTTCTAGAATATAGAGTCTATGACATAGATTTATTTTGTATCTCCTATAAAACATTTTTAAATAAAACCTAGGACTGAACCTGCCGTAGGCCAAGGGCTCTCCAAAATAGCATGATAAATGTAAGGCTGAAAAAAGAGGCTCAAAATAACTTACTGGAAATAATTTACATAACTTCTGAATGGATATATAATGTCTAACACTCATACTCATTTCAGTGATGAGCCCTCCATAGCATATAATCAAATATCTTTCAGGCCCTGAACCTCATTCCAGATAATTCAGCCACATAATTCTTTGCTGAAACAGAAATAACCCTCATCAAAAAATGTTTATATGCCAGCACAACATGAACATAAACAGAAGATTAGCAATATTTTAAATCTATTCCAAGTATTCTGGAATGTTTGTTATACATACAGCTGCCACTTGGGAGATGTACTGCCAAGATGACCATTTTTCCATTTTTAATAATGTTTTTTCATTTCTCTTTCTATATTCTCCAGTTAGGAGATTATAAAGGCAATTTTCAGACAAACCCAGTCTCCAGTAAAACAGAGAGAAAAGACAGCACAAAACTCTGACAGCATTTATTCCTGGCAAAAACTTTTGATTCAGCATAATTTAAATCCTGTATTTAATTATCTAGCTACTTCAAAATAACTATGTTTTGTATTGATTTTTTATTTTTTTAAAGATTTTATTTATTTATTTGACAGAGAGACAGCAGGAGAGGGGACATAAGCCCGGGGAGTGAAAGAGGGAGAAGCAGGCTCCCCACTGAGCTGGCAACCTGATGTGGTTGCAGGGCTCCATCCCAAGACACTAGGATCATGACCTGAGCCCACTGAGCCACCCAGGTGCCCCTGTATTGATTTTTTAGAACTCCTCCTTTATTTATTTTCCTTTATTTATTTTATTAACAAATACATTTTTATTTTTAAATATTTATTTAAATATTTATTTAAAAATAAATCCTTTATTTATTTTCCTCTTGCCTTTACTGGGAAAAAAAGCATAAGCAACTAATAACTTTAAAAATCAAGCTAGTTTTGGAGCTGATGACAAATGTGTGAACTGAAGTACCTATCTAAGTATGAGGATACCCTTCTAAAATAGAAATTTGAAACTCAGAAAAATTTATGGAGAAGTTTGTTATATTCTTTTGTGTTTTATCTTCATGTTTCTTACAAATGTGCACTTGTAGAAGAGAAATTAATTCTGCTAAATCTGCCTTAGATATGATCTGGCTTCCTTGAGAAAGTTGTAGACAGGATTGACCAGAGTTAAGCACACTTTGGGTTCATCTGGTCTGATCTGCAATGTAACACCCACATAAAATATTTAACTTCTTGCAGCCTATCAAGGTTAGATGCTGTTTAAACATTCCTTGAATTACTTCTTACCCCAAATCATACAGTATGAGGCACATGCTCAAAAACCAAACCGTAAAGTTGCCCAGACTAAGAAGTCAGTTCTAAAAGTCCTTTTTGTTTTCCAAAAAGGTTAAAATCACAAGTTCAACATGCGATAATACACAGAAGATTGATAGACAATGTGTATAAACATAGTGACAGAGACTACCATGAGCTGTCCATCCCATCATGACACTGCTTAAAATTGGACATGTTTGAACTCTCAACACACTTGGTGAACTTCCGGTAAGGTCTACCAATCATAATTAACCACTAATGAAATTTTACTAGGAAAAAAATTACAAGATATATTCAAAATCTCTTTTTAAGTCTGAGAGAGCAAACTCTGTGAAAATTATTGCTTTCCTATATAAGAGACTGCCACAGAAAGGCTCAGAAACAAATCTGTCCCCAACAGCTAATAATTCACCTATTATCAAACCCTCTAGAATCATAATACCTCAGTCCCAACTGTGAGCCTGCAA